AAACATTGTTTACTAATCTACACGCCTTTTCTTTTGGTTAATTCACGGGATACAGTAGTTCTCTTTTAACTTCATTATTCTAAAGTCGATTACTAATATTTGCTGAAATATTAACCCGTTTGTTTCATATAAAACCAGAAAATGACAGCCTGAGAAAGTTCGCGCAATATATTTATTAATTTTTTTATGCCAGAAGGCAAAATGTGTTCTATTTGTCAGGAGGAAAACCTTTGTTATTTCACATTTTCCTTTTCACACACATTTAGTATCATAACTATTTGATGGCCCTTTTATCGCTACAAACTTCACCGAAACTTTATATATTTTAGAGATATTTTACTTATGCGTTTGGTTATATTTGAGAGAAGCGCTCATCTGTGCCAACATATACTATATACTATGGTTTTTATCTATTTTTGTAAATCGTCTAAGTATGATTCTTTAATTGACGAAGTTCTTAAATAAAGTACAATGTACAACATGGAAAGTCCTAATGTAGCCCACCTTTCGTTTGATTTCTCTCTCTTTCGCACGTTACTGTTTAAACTCCAGCTATCGGCGATAGTGCAAGGTTGTTTGTTTATCAACATCTATTAATTAGCACCACGACACGAGGATAGCAGCCCCACAACACATGGTGAACATTTGTCACTGGTAGGTAAAACAAATAACCTCAACATAGTATTTCACGTTACACTGATGTGAAAATATAAGCAGCATCCCATAAAGTTACACTGCGTTTTATGTTGTTTTTTTTTTAATACAGTTAGTATATGGAAAGTTAATTGCACTTTGTATGAATGATTTGTATATGCTAAGTAGTTGCGTCTCTGCAGATGCTAGCCCAGCTGTGAAGTCACAGGCAATATTTATCACCTGTATATTTGGTTCAAAGTGAATATTAAATATTTCGACAATGCAAATGTTGCCACTGCTATACTTAAAGCTGGATTAATGTGTCACGGCTATTCTAAGCGAGCTCATTGAACAATGTAGAAACAAAGGGCGCAATGTTTGATGAAATAAGCCCTCAATATTTTCCAGATGGAAGCAAAAAACTTCATAGAGTAACAGGCTCCAGAATTACGCCCAAAACCAATTCACAGCAAAGCCAACACCCGCAAAGTAAAAACTGTGGTTATGAAAGAGAATCTTTCGAACCAAAATATTCGTGTACATGAAGAAAGGGGTCTGTGGGAACGAAGATTGACTCCGCTAATTGTGCAGAAGCTAAATATATGAATGTTTTGAACGCAATTTGTTTGGCAATAACTTGCTACTTTTAATTTAGTTGTATACTGCTTTACATTTTTTAAATATAAAACTTAAAAAACATTGTACTGAAAACCATTAGAAAAAAGATCAGTGTCATATACCATAATTTCTGCAAGTTCAATCGATGTGTGACATTTTTGCTTCTTACTAACATGAATTAAACGTCTTCAAATAGTTTCCACAAATTTTTTTCAGTCAAATGCGAATATTGACATGGAATGAACATGATCCTCCGACAACTTTATTGGGCGATGTTAACAATAACGTTGGAAAAGATCACGTGCTTAAAATATTTATTTCTAATGTTAACAGTTAATGATGTTTAGTGTGACTGTTTCCTGTGAATCAAATAATGAACAAATACCACAGAAGATACTGTATAGGCCATTCATACATATGAGGTATAACATTACAGAATATACTTCGGTCATCCAAGGATATTAGTCATATAGAATAGCACGTGCAGAAGATACCACAGTATTAAAAAAAAAAGACTTATAAAACATCATGTAACAAGATCACTATATTTGATTTGAAGTTATATAGCTTTTCAAGTAGCTACGCACAGTAACATGCCATACCGAATGTTTTATTTGCCAACATCTGACAAGAACAACTAACAGAAAAGTGTGCTTAGCTTAAGGCAAGTTCCATGGGAACTAAAATAACCATAAATTCTAATATAAAATATACACATGCCATTATCCCTACAAAATACTAGATGTACTTCCGCAGGGTTCCCGAAAGTGTTCTGTTTCAACAGTAAATAAAACCAAAATTAAGAGAAACAAATATTTTTAGTTCTTGCTTTTCAAGTTCATGTGTCGTGTTGTATTGTAGCCTACATAGTAACTGGACAATTAGACACCTAAATAAATGAGGAAGTAGGATATTTAGACACCTAATAATTGTCTAGTTGTCCTGTTACCATGCAGATCATATAATGGAGTAAATTAAACTGGTAATATAATAAACTTAATTATATGTTGGCCAAATAATGGAATAAATTTAAAATTTTAATAAAATAGGCCTAGATCTATACAGTTCATATAAGGGAGTGCATTAAATATGTAATGTAATAGGCCTAGATATATATACACAGGTCATAATGGAGAATATTATTGTTTTATTTTATAATAAACAAGTGGTGTCTAAATGTTCTACTTCCTTACTTTTATAAGTGTCTAGTTGTTCTGGATTCAATCTACAGAGTACATAATTCTTCTGTGATTCATGGCATGCGCACGTTTTCTGACGTCATGACAGTACAAACTGCAACGTCAAACGTTCCTTAAATGACGCTATTTTAGTGTTTACTGATTGACGGACAGACGACACACTACTGTATAGTAGTTCGAATGACAGGTGACCCCTCCAGGCGGCCTTCGGCCCTCTTTCGGGGAAATTACTATTTATATGTAAAGATATAACACGTTCCTGCAATATTTCTGAAAAGAAGAACGAACGATATAATTTTACTTTGAACTTTTGTATATACATTGTGTGTACATATATGCATGCTGTAAACAGATGTATATGCTTTGTAACAATTAACAACAATGACTTGTTGTCTCTTAAATTTAATTACCATCGGTGCCATAATGTGTTTATCCAACGCGTTGTAGAGACATAATGTGATTGAAAAACTATCATCACTGGCTTGTTTGGCAACGCGTTGAACCAATACATTGTGGCCTCAATGGCTTGTCATACCCGATGTTATAAGGTAGAATAATTCTTAGAACACATGTGTGAAAACAAAGGTGAGTGAATATAACATGTCAACAACACTACATCTACCATATCCAGTGCCGATAAGGCCTTTCGTACAATGCCAGGGTTTATCAGACCACCTGGGATACGACAGACATAGCAGTATTCTAGAGGCTATATATATATATATATATATGTGTGTGTGTGTGTGTGTGTTCATAATCAATTTTCATGAGCCACTAATGTTATGGTGTGAATCAGATTAGCAGTGGTGGTTCATGAAAATTGATATATATATAGCGCTGGACTGATGCTATATCTGTCCTATCCCGGCCTGCCTTGATGAGTCCTGACATTAGGCGAAACAGATTAAGCAATGAATTTTAATTATTATAAGTTTTGGTTTAATTAACATACAGTCACATTTTTATGGAAAAAATTAGTAACACAACATTTTAAAAGAATCTGTTCTGGTTCTGCTGGTAAACACAAAGCAACTACTCTGTTGTGTTCGATACGTTTACATACGATCTATGAAAATGTTCGACAAGAATACTTGAAAAGCATTGACATCTAAAAACTAGAAGTATTTTCAATGCTTTCGTGTCGAAAATGATGGTAAAATCATACTAAAACTTGGACACAACATTGATGACTCTCATCCTATTTTATTCTAACGGACTTCATTTATCACAAGTTATTGTAGAGATAGGCTAATAACGTTATCAGTCATGCTTTATCATTTATCACAAGTTATTGTAGAGATAGGCTAATAACGTTATCAGTCATGCTTTATCATTTATCACAAGTTATTGTAGAGATAGGCTAATAACGTTATCAGTCATGCTTTATTATTTATCACAAGTTATTGTAGAGATAGGCTAATAACGTTATCAGTCATATGAGATAAAACAAACAGATTGATACTAATATTGCTTGTACCCATATCAGTTAGATATCCTGTATAACTATTAAAAAAAACTATAGCTTAATTAGTAATTTGTGTAACAATATTCATCACAACAATACTGTCGATGATTTTATTCGCATCTTTTGTTACTGACCTTTTTACAAGAAAGATATGAACGAAATTATTGTCCTTCTTAATATGATGTAATATCACACAAACTCTTGCTCAACAAACAGATCATACTTTGCCAGCTGAGAGGTTAATTATACAACATCTGTCTAATACGTTTTATAGTAATCGAATAGCGTGATTTGTGCCTTTTTGTGTTACAGCTGAAAACATAGCTAGCACCAACTCTGCAACGAAGATATTCCAAACATCCACACTCTCCACTTTGATGACCTAGAAACACATTAATAAAGCATGACTGATTACGTTATTAGCCTATCTCTACAATAACTTGTGATAAATGAAGTCCGTCAAACCTAGAAACACATTAATAAAGCATGACTGATAACGTTATTAGCCTATCTCTACAATAACTTGTGATAAATGAAGTCCGTTAAACCTAGAAACATATTAATAAAGCATGTATCTATTACCACATTCGTACTATGATAACTGTGAACTTCCTACAATTAATTACTATAAGAAATATCTCGGGGATACTTTAAAAATATTTTTGAAAACAAAAACATATACTTATCGGTATCGTTTCAAGGTTTTAATTCAAATAATATTTTACTTTATTAATATTTTACTCCTAATACATCACATGAAATAAATAAATAATGACATAGCTTGGTAACTGCACTGAAATCGGCCATTAGTATCCAGTTATATACAATTTTTGTTGTTGTTGTTGTTTTTTGTCACAAGGTGTATTTTTCAAGAAAGTGACGAAGGTCAATAAATGTGAAAATGAAAACAAACAACAATAAATGTTACCAAACTCTCACGATTAAAGTGTAAACACATGACACTAAATGTCACCACATCCTATGGTTAGTTAATGTAAAAAAAAAAAACCGACAATAAATATTGTTAAATATCAATGTTAATGTGAAAACAGCGTGTATATTTTTATTATGTAGCATCCTACCTGCCCAACATCTCTGACGATATCGAACCTTCCTCCTCCTGAGCAACTTGCTCGGACTATCATCCTTGGTTCGGCTGTTTTTGTGTGCATTAGATGCAGGAGTGCTATTGAAGTGAGAGTTGACGTGCCTTTCCAAGGCACTCTGGGAAGTAAACCTCTGTCCGCAGCCGTCAACGATGCATTTGAACGGTTTGTTTCCACCATGAGTTAGCATGTGTCTCTGTAACCAGCTGAGAGAGCATGATGGCCGATCATACACCTGAAATATGTGACGCGTGTTAAATCCAAACAGTTGAAATAATCTCAAATCATAATGCAATAGTTATACATGATTCAGCAAAAACATGGCCATCTCATACTAATACAGACTAAATTTAATGCTTATTTTTTGCTTTTGCTTTCCATAAAACCGTATTGTTATAGGTACATCTAACAGTTTTTATTTTAAAATGTATACACATTAAATACTGCAAGCTACCGACCTAATATTCACAGCATTTTATTCTTATGCGCAGCCAATGTTAACTGTATTCACATGTATATTCTATAGGTTCTTATAAAAGTTAGACACAAGTTCTCTCTTTTTTAACAAAAATTACCGAACCTCAAAGTTCAAGATGTTTTAACCATACATATCTAGGTGTGTGTATGTGTTTATCCACACACACACACATATACTTAAGTAAGCTGATAACAATAAAGTCCAGGTATGATTACGTTAATAAAACAATCTGTAAAAAGACAGTTTTCTTTTATACTGATAAATTTAATGGTCTCAATGTTGTAATGGTTTGAAAAGTTTATTACTACGTTAAATAATGCGAAAATTTTCATTATGATCTATAAATTCTGCAACAGACTCTATTAGTGTTCTTTTAACATTAATCAAATATAATTCGGAGTTTTGCCAACAACTGTAAAATAAAAAGGAAGGAAGATTAAGTATGACTTCTTCTGCAAATCTGTCTTCGTGAATTATTATCTTTGGTGTCATGTGGTTTTGTCAACGTATTAAACAAAAAATATATTAATATTACGTAACAGGCACGTCGGAACTTACAAAAAAATCGAGGGAGGGAAACAGTCGTAAATGAAGAAAAACTGATAATAAATAAAAACGCTTTAAAATATTATTCAACAATTTCACGCAAGTACTGTCACGTACATACATGAAAAAAATTAAATTGCTGTATACTACAAAATCTCCGTCACACATATAATAGGAATATTTCAGATAATAACAAGTACACACAATATACAGATACACAAAAAGTGTAGTGCTTAGAACGTGCCAAAGAACTGTAGTTTCCTTTAATTTCGATTGACAAAATCAGCTGACTGCATAGAATAAGATTAAACAAAAATCGTTGTCAGCAAAATACTGGGGAGCCTAATGATATTGGAGCGACACGTGCTCCCCCCCCCCCCGGTTCCAACGTTTATGAATAACTTGCAGTTCAACGAGACATTGTTCTCGTTTTAACACCATTTAATGAAGGCAGCGTGGAATGTTCTAAGAATAATCTGTTCATTTTATATTATTAAGTGTGTACGTTTTGCTCCCATTAGTGTAAACCTTGTGAATACCGAGTATGTATTTTACAAACACTAATATATATACTAAGGATATTTAAAGCAGTAAGCACCACGAAACGAACACGCGCGGAAGAATGTAAAACTTTGGTAAATTCATTTCACTACGTAATGGGTTCGCTTAGTACAATGAAGTAAGCACAAAATAAAATAAAAACATCAATTAGGTTGATCCGCAATTGAAAATAAAACATTGAAACACTACCTTTAGTTTTACTACTACTAGAAGGCAAATATCCAGTTACTCACAATGGGTAATATTTAAATTTTCCTGTTACCGATGGATCCCACATATTGCATCGTATTGAGTAATTCTATACTTTCGCGTGTAGGAACACTTAAGTTAAAGAAATGACAAAAAGTGGGCGAAACCATCCATTTCCTATGTAAAGTACATATGAACCCCCCCCCCCCCCCAGCAATAATAAGCATGAGTTAATTGCAACTATGACGATATTTTAAAATTATATCGTGCGACTCATATGATAACCAACCAAATCAAGGACACACGAGCAATGTGGCGCATAAATAATTCTGAAAAATATGTTTTAAAACCTAACAGAATCCACATTGAATATATATTGGTAATTCCAGAGTTAATATGAGTCACAAACCTTATAAAACTTAAAGCTATAAAATTCGTATTTATCTGGACATAAACTTTGTTGCCTACAGCCATACAATATATATTAGCAACCTACACTTCAAGATTCTTAACACAATACAAACAGTCTTTATTCTGACCTACGAACCTTATGTTATATGAAAATTATAAAACCAGTATTTATTGTAAGGTATAAATCTTAGGTTACCAAGAAAAATTCAAACAATATCTATTATGGAGAAACATTTCCTTCTATAGAACCATGTGACCAACAATCATCAGGATCTATTAATCTTATGTTACCTAACTCCATACAGCCTATAATAATTGACTTATAAACCTTAACTTCCACCAATACAACTAATGTTTTTTATTGAGAAGAACAATATGTCAAAAGTTTTACTTCTTATCACAAATAAAAGTTTAAAATCATACAATAAGTAATTTTTTCTTAACCAAATATATAGTTGATGCATGAAAGTCTGGCAAGCAAAGTCAAACTAACTCAATTTCCAAAGTGGAAAGTATGAAATATGGTACATGTACACCGTAACTTACTTGTAATACTGACACTTCCTAAAAGGATTAGTTGACTTAATAAAGTTTTACATCCTTCTATTTACCTACACATAAAACCACTGAAGCATAATGTATGCACTAAAAGCATTGTAAGGCAGAGCTCACAACCTTTTAAAGACACAAGCCAACAATGATCATCTTCTTGATAAGGCTTCAAAGACTTTTCATGTTATTGCACTTTAATGGTAGTCTTGAAGCTATAAGAACACTTTCAAGAGGTAAGACACTTGATAGGAGTTATCCTTATGTCGTAAAACATGTTGGAGTGAAAATAATGCAAAGAACTAGAACATTTGTAATTGCATCTGTCAAGTTATTAATCATAATTCATAACCAAAAACTTTTTGAATAGATGTTCTTTTACGAAAGTAAATTATTACTGTATAAGCTCCTTAAAGTTAATCAAAAGGCTAATGCTAATAATTATTTCTGCTTACAGGATATGTAGCACTATAAATGCTTTATCAATTTATGAAACATTACTGAACAGGTACATAAAGTACACTTACACTATAATTTAAAATTATTGTTCATAAAAAAAAAGTTCTATTTTTCTGATAGTATTAATATTTTTTACAGAGATTTTTCATAATTATATTTCAGGATAGATTAAATTGGTATTTAAAATGTGATTTTCAAACTTTATGTACCACTGATACAGACTTTCCAATATAGATATTAAAAGCAAGTAGTGTTTATGTGTTTTTCAAAACTATTTCTATCATCTCTATATGAACATAAATCAAATTACAAAATCAAGTAAAAGTGGGTCTCCTAATGTGTTTAATATATAATAATGTCATGTTTTCCAACCATCATTTTTGGTTAAAAGTGCAATATATTGTTATCTAATATTCTGATAAAAGAGAGTATGCAAATTGTCAATAATTACTTTGTAAAACAGATGACAGGAGCAATTTTTAACTAAGTTGTGACTTAACTGAAAGTATTTTCAAGGTTTTTCATAACTTTGAATTTAGTTCATTTAAGTTCATGAAAACTATTTCAGAAACTCAAGTCACAGCTAGCTTCTGTATTTTTGTGTTTCAATGTAAATTTTGCATGTAATATTTAATTTTTTGTCAAAGGCTTTTCTAGTTTTATACACAAAATGATTGAAATGATCTCTTAGTTATTGAAAATATTAATTTTTATAACTTTAAATGTAATTAGCTTTAATTACAGATAAAATATTGTTACAATACAATTGACTTATGAGTAATACCTGTATAATGACTTAGGTTACAAAGAATAAGAAAAATCCATTAAACTTTCACTATGACTTACTATATTCATGTGTTAGCAATGCTCATTAAGAAACTAAAGAATACAGCTCTTAAAACTTTTATGTAAAATACAATACACAACTTCATTAAAAAAAAGGATTGTATGGGAAATACTATTCTTATTATTGTAATACAAACAAGGTATGTTTTAGCTATTACAAAACAAAATATTGGTGTGGCAATCCGATTTGTGAAACACTAGGTTAAACTAATGTCTCTGTGAATAAGTCTAAGGTAGAAAAGCGTTGGCAAAAAATAGGATATTAATGCTTTATAAAGAATGTAATTAAATTATTTCTTTAAAAAACTCATTGAAACATGATACACTCAACTTATCATTTCTTTTACTATTTAGAAAATGTGTTTTTTATTGATATTGTGCTTGTTTGTGATACATTTTACTGCAGTAATGTATGCTTATATGACAGTTATTGGAATAAAAAATGTATAAAACTACATACAAGTATTTTTGTCATCCTGAGTTTAACAGTGTTAAATAAACATGTTTTAAACAGTTACATAAGGTCAAGTGGAGCTATTAATATAGTTAAAACCACAAACACTCTTTATTTACATTGTTTAAAGAAAAAAAAAAGCAATATAAAACAATTTCAAACACTGTAAATATAAACATATAACATGACTTTTGCATTATACTGTTCAAGATACTGTACAGACTACTTATACTATACTTACTTTACAACCTTTCCACAAACATGTAAAATGTTCACCATTTTTCTGAGTGTCCACATGAGCAATACGGATGTGGTCAACAAGTTCACTTGGGCAGTCAACCTCAGTAACACAGTTCAACCATTTACATGCTAATATTAACTGGGCCTGAGAACTGGCAGTTGATTGGCTAGATGTTGATGAGGTGGCAGTGGAGGATTGGCTACAGCATAATGAGGCAGCAACTGGTGATTGGCAAGAGGATGATGAGGCACAAAGACCTTGGCTAGAAGATGAATAATGTGAATATACAGTACAGTTATTTTTAACATAAGGTTTTTCCCAGTCTTTAACAGCTAATTTATTAAAGGTAATGATGTCATCATTCTTAGTCTCACTATAAGTCTTTGTAACAGTAGGTTCCCCTGATGAAACCTCAGATGAGTTAATCTGGTCCCCTGGGACTTCTTTACATTCCACATCACATTCAGGAAGATTGGACATCTTCTTGAGATGAGGTGTATTACCCTGTATGAGACTGTCCCCTTGATAAATACTTGAATGTCCAGATACATCCCCCTGTGAGCAGTTTCTTGCTGATAAAACACTATAGTCAACATTGTCAAATTCTTCACTGCCAGGAAGAGAGTGGTCATTAGTTTCTTCTGACAGAGAAGCTGGCAGAGGGGGCATAGGTTGAGGTGTCTCTGGGGAAGCTGGACATTCTGGTGAGCATGGTTCTGAAACACTAGTAGTGTCACTTGATTGGCAGGAGTCACTTGCACTGCTACTTACTGCCACACTGAAAAATAGAAATGGAAACAAGGCAAAACATTCATTAAAATTTCTTCTTTGATACAGACTGGATTTATACAAAAATTATCAAACATTACATCAATTTGCTTAATTGATTAATGTTAATTAAATAGGATAGGGCCTGATTCATGTAATTTTTAACTCCTGAATATGTTTTTCAAACACTATCTAAAATTTCAAATAAATGTTTAGGAAAAGTAAAGCCACAAAATATATTATTTCATTGCAATTACTATGACAGTATAAAAATCAAAATTATTTACAATTTAAAATACCCATAAATTACATTAACTTTGCTCTAAATTATGAGCAGGTACTTTAATAAACTTGCAAATTTTTTGGATTTAGGTTTCTGATTGTATCATTAAATTGTAAGAAAATTTGTACATACACTGTACTTTTGTAACTTGGAAAAATTATATAATTTCTGGTTTATTCATATTGTATATTATTTATAAATAAATAGTCACATACAACAATTTCATCATAGACAATACATGCATAATAAATATTTAACAAACAAAAAAATAAACTGTGTATTGAAACAGAAGTGACAGATACACTTAACCAAAAAATAACAAAATATAAGCAAATGACTGATAAAAATATATGATTCAGTGAGAATTCATGTGTTAAAAATTGAGAAGAGAAAGCTATAAACATTCATTTAGATAGGCTAAGTTTTGAGTAGGAGATGAAACTAATGATTTCTTTTGATACTAAAAAAAACATTTTCTATTAAAACAATATAACATAAAGTGGTATATTTCATTAAAATACATAAGGAACTAATGAAGTAACAAAAGATAATAAAGTATCACTCTCCTGTTATATTTTAGCCATCAGTGTCTGACCCAAGTTTAAATAGCACTGAAAAAAATGTTCTTTTGTTTGATAATAAGGAGATAATGTTCTCTGTCTTGGTCACAGAAAGCAAGTTATTTGTTTAGTGGGTGGGTTTTTGTGTTTTCAGAGGATGATTTTTTAACGTTCAATGAAAACTGTTATATAAAATAAAAATGCAGATTATGAATTTTACAAGAATAAATATGTTTGGATATAGATAGACAGATATGTAGACCTTTAACTGGCTAACAAAAAAAACAGCTATAATGACACTGTCCAAGCTTCATTAAATGGTTATAAGATAATTTTACAAGAATAAATATGTTTGGATATAGATAGACAGATATGTAGACCTTTAACTGGCTAACAAAAAAAACAGCTATAATGACACTGTCCAAGCTTCATTAAATGGTTGCACTTCTTGTGAATAAACTAATTAATAAAATTAAACATTTAAAGTTTGGAAATTATCATCCTTAGACAGATGTATTTCAATAATGAGGTGAACTTCTAATGAATGTAATGTTGTAGTTAACTAGAGCTAATAGACACAGTTAGAACATCCCTCTATTCATCAAAGAAACAAAGACAGCTTGCTTTTACACTTTTCAATACTTCAGAAGTATTAAAAATATATATGATACTTGTTTTTTGTCTAAACAAAAAAGACTTGGAGAAATTATGCCTAGCCATCGCTACATACTGTAGAAATAAGTAGATTTTCAATCAGGTAAGCGAAAGCTCAGAAAGACAGAAAGCTTGACTGACACAAAGCGTGGGGCCTGGGTTTAGTTCGATAAACGACGGCAAGCGGGGCTCTGGACGGAGGTGTTCTACGTGTTCTTGATCATAGTTGATGTTGAACACTCAGGCCATTCATATTGTAGTCATACTCATAGGTGTACGAATAGTGATACGTAAATATGATATGTATATTAACGCTCACTTTTCAGTAGCGTTCTATATTTAGTTAATGAAGTAGCTGTATATTGTTTTACAGGCCCAACTTTTTATGTCGTATAACACTTTAAAACTAAAAGGCCACCTCAGCCTGTTTAAAACTAAGTACATGATAATATCAAAATCAAGTGTCATGATTGAAAATATAAAATACTTGATAGAAATAAATAAAATATTAACACAATGAATGGAGCTGGAAAATCTTTCCATGGCAACAACGGAATGGTCCAGCAATCTTCCATCGCTGACCCAACCCCAAAATACAGTCACATTGAACAAAGGTCAAACTCCGACCACGACCCTAACAAAGGACACTACACTTTGCGACACCTGTCGGGCACTGCGAGAAACACAGCAGCAAAGATGAAAGACCGTGACGTAAGAATTTCCACTCGTAAAATATACGATCCGTTCAGCGCATTGGTAACCTAAAGGAGGATCTTTACACCATGTAAAGAGACTGACTGTTCTCGAGTAATTTTAGTCAATTAAACTTGTTTGCCTTGATGTTTCATGATATTTAATAATAAATTCGAAACGAATCTTGTAGCAAATCATTCGAAATAAGACAAACAAAATTCAGCTGTAGATCAACTTTAATACTTCTATTGACGCGTTTTACCGAACGGTTATAACATTTATATGTACAAGTCCAGCCCCTCTCTCCCCCAGTGGCTCAGTGGTAAGTCAACAGGCTTATAACGCTAAAACCAAGTTTCGATACCCGTGGTGGTGCGTTTAACAACAAACAAACAAGTACAAGTGGCCCTATACAATAATCTAATTTAAAAGTATAATTTTAGTCACCCGAGCACTATATTCACCAGCAATTAGTGTCATTTTGTTCATTGTAAAGTAATTTTAAGTAGCGAACATGTTACATTTTAGTATGGTTGTAGTGATACCATAATACACGAGAACTGTGCCAAGACGTAGCTCTCATCCAACTAAATTGATAAGAAAAATTGAATTCACCACATACAGTTTAAGTTATTTGTCGTAAAATAACGGATATTTCAAATGATAACTTTATAGTTATTTTAGCAGCAATAAAACTATGTAAAAGTTATTCTTATATTAATCATTACAAACAAAATCCTAATGCGTTTAGGACAATCCCGTTAAGAACTAGATTGACTTGTTTAAACATATATATAATAAAGAATTATTTAATTGGCCGGGCTTGGCCTAGTGATCAGTATGCTCGAACTGTCAATCCGGGGGTTCATGGCTCGCAGCCCACAGCCGCAAAAAAACACGCTCCACAGTCAGGATCCGTGGATGCGCTATAAGAGTGACGGTAAAATTCCAGTATTCAGTTAGACAAGAATAGCCTAAGAGTTGGCGGTGGTTGTTATTGACTAGTTTCTTTCCCTTTTGTCTATCAGTTGGAAATTATGGCCAGCTCTGTGTGGGTTTTCGCTAAAATCTTGAAATAATTATTTAGTATATAATATTGGGCTATCTGCTGTTCCTACCGCGGGAATCGAACCCCACAGATAATTTGTAAGGAAATTGCTTAGTCACTAACAAACTGTTTTCAAATGTACACTGGAATAAATAACGATGTCACCTGGTTTTTCAGAAACAAACACTAGAAAAGTAAATGGCATTATTCTTATGTGCATTAGGTAATAATTAGCTGTACGTGTAAATACAGCTATATCCCATAGTAAAGTGATATTGTGAATTCTAAAGGAATACTAGTGCTTATTTAATATTGTGAACTAAAGGTTGTATCTAGCCATAGTTTAAAATACAAAAAGTTTATTGCATGCTTTTTTAACATTCACACACAAACATAAAATCATTATTATACAAGCTAACTGTAAACTGATTCTAGTTCCTTTTTGCCTAAGTCTAAGTTCATACAGTGTGACTTCAATTTTCCTGAGAATCAGTGGTGTAATGGTGTGGGAATGGGTGAGACCGTTCCCTCACTGTTTCGAAGGAATCCGACCTTACAAATCTCAAACCTCGCGAAGTTTTGTCCACCCCTAGAAGAATCATTAATCCTTTCATCCAGGTTGTAGGCAAGTAATCAACGTATAATGAAAGAAAATATTGCAAAATTCAAAATATAATGTGTAGTTCTGTTAGTATTGATCACAAAGTTCCAAACAACATATGGTCAGAGTTTATACTTTTCACCTTTTCATACATATTTTCTGTAATTATTATGTTGTTAGTAACTGACTTTGAAACTCGACAAAACAAAGAAGACTGATGTCATCTGTGTATGTGAGGCTCATATAGACACACAGTGGTGCCAATTTTTATAAACGTTACCCTTCCTATAATAAATCAGAATATATTATTAGAAATAATGTTACAAACTCATCTCAGGATTTTGTTCCTCTTATTTCCAATGATAGCTGTCTTCAGTTAATATTCCAAATACTTGTCTATCATGACGGTTTGAGAGAGTCATCAGATTTGTATTCATTGCAATATTCCTAAACACTATTCATTGGTTTCAACGTAATTACGATTATATATTAAAATAGGTCTTTATGATAAAGTCGGTTACTTGTCACTTGTAACCGAGTATCACATTTATTTTATATATTAAATAAATTACGTACTTTCATTAAAAACTATAGTTCGTGAAAAAAAAGGACTTTGCAACCATCCACTCATCAGCGATGACCATGAAAGCTTGTGCACCTTGATAATATAGTTTGACTCTTGTTCATTCTAAATGTTTAATTAAAATGCGCAGAAAACAAATAATATCACGAGAATCTCAAATTAAAATCCTTGTAATATAAAACTATACCACTTAGATCATGAAGTTGGAAATTTATTCATTTAAGTCAAAGAACAGACATAAATCATAAAAAGTGGCGACAAAGTTTTGTAAAACTGTGTATGGGATTTAAATGCACGTGTGATCAAAATATATGCAAAACTACAGATAAGGATGGAAAGAAAATTAAAAGAGGGTATTATTGTTGTTTTATGTTTCAAACTGTAAGTTTAACTTCATAAATTTAACCATTGGATATTTTCATTTACAATTATATTACAGAAAAAAGAAGCCCAATTCATTGAGCTTACGAAATTTTATTTAAACTCATATAATGTTTATTAGACCAAGTTTTAAATCGATTCTGTTTTCTGTTTAATGATGCATGAGAGCGTCGTATAATATATACGTAGTACGCCTTCCCATCCGTC